TTGAGCTAAATGAAAGTTGCAACTTTCATCTAGAGTAAAAATCTGTTTTAAAAGTTTTCACTGAAATCAGATGAATCCATACATTGCTTCATGAACAAACCAAAGAGAGGGAAATACTGATTCATATGTATTATATCTTGTTGATGTCTAGTTTTGTAATGAAGTATGTTCAAGTTTCGAGTGCTAAAAGGGAGAAAATCTTGCCTTTTGTACATTGTAGTCAGTCAAATGCAAATGTACATGTGATTATTTCTCTGTGTGTTAAAATGAATAAGAAATGTGCCGGTATAAACATAATGTGCCATGATTGCTTGCTTGAGGAACGTTTTTTCCACACCATTGAGGATTTTTTTTCTTCCTATCCACCATTGCAATAGTTCATGGGTGTTTTGATATGTACTGTATACATTCATGTAATACATAGCGCAATGCCAAGGTTAAAAAAAAAACTTAATAAAGATGAAAGTATTCACAATTATGTGGAAAGACATGTGAATAGTTGCCACAATGTGTCATTACTTAACACTTCTTAGATAAATCTTTAATATGCCTATATGGGATGAAAATAATATCTGGCAGCTAAATGGTAGCCTCCAAAGGGAAAGAAAAGAAATAATATTAATATTCAGTGGGCCTACTTCTGCAGTGCCAAGAATCAAAGGGATAGAGAAAGAGAGAGGGGAGAGAGACAAAAAGAGAGAGGGGGAGAGTGAAAGAAAAAGGGGGAGAGAAAAAGAGAAGGGGATAGAGAGAAAGAGAGAAATAAAGGGAGAGTGAAAGAAAAAGAGAGGGAGAGAGAGAAGGGGATAGAGAAAAAGAGAGAGGGAGTAGAGAAAGGGGTAGAGAGAACGAAGGGGAGAGGGGGAGTGTGAAAGAAAAAGAGAGGGAGGGAGAGAAGGGGATAGAGAGAGGGGGAGTGGGAAGAGAAACACAAAGACTGAGAATTTACGAGTGTGTGTAAAGAGAAAGTGGGAGTGATTTATATAGATAGAGCCTATATAATTTGATATATTCTTTCTATCACAGAAAGAGACAAAACTAGCCTAATACCACAAATGATATTTAACAAATAGTCTAGCTCTTTTAGTCTTTATGCAAAAAAAAACTTAAAATTTCAACTCCCCTACTGTCCAAGCTGCCGCTCTTATTCTAATATTCAAGTCATCAAACATCTGTATGGGACTTGGAAAAGGGCATAAACAAAATATGTAAAGATATTTTTCACCAAAACTAACAATAAAACCCTGGTTTCTGGACGTCCCTTCCTCCAATTGCAATAGGAGCTTGTACACAATACGTATGCGCAGGCGATTTGTTGTACTACGCAAAATGGCGGCGGGCGCACTCGAGCGGTGCCATTGCGCTGCGTGAAACGTGAACGGACACAATCCTTCTACTTGGTTTGAGTTCGTTGGTTACAGCCTACACACACACACACATACACGTAGCCCCAGCTAGCCAGACTTTCCCGCGCTTAGCCAAGCCATATCGATATGATCATCTTGCGCGTATACATTCCATTTTGAGACAGGGGGGATTTTCAACTAGAAGATAGATAGAAGACGAGCAGATAATTTGTGTACTGCAATTTAGGTCAAAAAAGCAATGTAATATTATATATCAATACAAGGAAATATAATCAAATTTTTCAATACATTACTTAGCCTGACTCCATCCCTTATTTTGGTTGAATAATTTCTAAACACCCCTTTTGCCTAATCGACTAGCCCAAAGCCCAATGTCTAGACATGTGGCCTAATCCACTACCACGAAGGGCATTTCAGTCCATATATATATATTACAATCAGTGCATGAAAAAGGGATATTTCTGAATAAATATAAACATTATCACACTTTGAGACAGCCACAAATAAGTGAAGAATGGTTCATAAAGATTTAATTTTCATTTATTTGATGTAAATCACAAACATTTAGCAAAAAAATTGTCCCTTATAAAATGCATTTCCCCGCCAGTGAATGGTGTATTCCTGGCCTTAACAGCTGGATTGCCTCTTTGAAGAGTGTCCTGCGCGATCATATTTTGAGAACCATTGTCGCGAATGAGTTAACTAAATATATATAATAAACTAAATAATAAAAACAAATTCTGGGCCATGAATTTTGATGGAAAACAACTTAAATTATTTTGAATGACTTGGTGCTAATCTTTCCGTGTGTGGTCCTCTTTAACTGCATGTATTTTTGCATGATTATTGACTGATTATCCAATCCAGAATAACCAGAAAATATCAAAATAATAAATTACAAAAATACCATTTATTCGGTTCAGAATAGAAGTACAACGTCAAGTAAATATACAATCAATTTTATATCTTCCAACAGAACTTGGAGCTCAAAGAAAAGCAGAAGTTTGGCGCCTTGTGTGCCCTGTACAATCCTAACTTAAGGGGGAGGGGGTCCTTGTGATGCATGATAGTCAAGGAGAAAGGGAGAAAAACATTGAAGTGAAGTTGAGACAGAAGTATAGAAACAAAGAGAGAGGATTTGGAATGAGAGTCTAAAGAGTCACTCACCTTTCATTATTAAATGCATGCTGCTTTTAACACGTATAATTTATGCATTTTTTTATTAAACATTTGCATTATTTAATAACGCATAAAAGTGGGGCCACCTGAAAATCCATTTGGCCACCCAGATCTCCTACCCAAGTGGCCCTGCTGGCCACCTCAAAAAAAGTTAAGGGCAAGCCCTGATATATTATGTTACATATCGTGAACATATTTCATAATCACATGCATAAAACAATCAGCGTCAATATTTAAATACATTTAAGGTCACTTATTCGATTACTTTTTTTTCTACGAACATTGAATTCCAGGATATGTGTGGGCGTTAGAATATTTAAATGATTAAAAAAAAATCGTCGACGGTCAACGAACCATCGAATCGGTCCCTCCTCTGTGTGTTATATATATGGACCATTTTGACTGATTCGTCAGTTCGTGTGACCGCCGACCAATCATTTATTTGTGACGTGTTGTATCCACATATGTAATAATGAAATTTATTTTTAAATGAAAAAAGAGGAATAAGATGGTGGGTCTTAGTTTCGAAGATTTGTTTAAATTTCTATTTCTTTTGAAATAACCAGGTCTGAAGGAAAGACTACGCTCTATACCCATGTTATTCCACAGGAATGAGATGGTGAGGTCTTTTATAGTAATTTGAAGATTTTACATTTTTTTTAAATAACCGAGTCTAAAGTAAAGACTACGCTCTAATTCCATGTTTTATTATCGGGTCTTAATTTGGAAGATGGAGGGGTCTTAGTTTAAAAGGTTTTTTCTTTGTTTTGTTTTGTTTTGTTTTTTTGTTTTTTTAAACTTTTGAAATAACCGGGTCTGGAGAAAAACTACGCTCTAAACCCATGCTTTATTACCGGGTCATAGTTCGGAAGATGGTGGGGTCTGTTACACCCGCAAATGTAATAACGCCCACAAATGTAATAACACTTTACCCACAAATGTAATAATTTTGAATCGCCCACAAATGTAATAATGACTTTACCCACCAATGTAATAAATTTGAAGTGATATTTTGTCGAATTTGTTCAAAACTAAAACCCTGTAATAAAGCATGGGTATAGCGCGCAGTCTTTACTCCACACCCGTTTATTTCAAAAATATAAAAAATCTTCAAAACTAAGACCCCATAATCCTTTTCCTGTGGAATAACGTGAGAATCGAGCGTAGTCTTTCCTCCAGGTTATTCAAAAGTAAAAAAAAAAAAAAAAAAAAAAAAATTAAAAAAAAATTAAACTAAGACCCCACCATCTTCCAAACTAAGACCCGGTAATAAAGCATGGGTTTAGAGAGTAGTTTTTCTTCCAGACCCGGTTATTTCAAATCTTTTTAAAAATCTTCAAAACTAAGACCCCATTATCTTATTCCTGTGGAAGAACATTAGTAGGATATTTGTGGGCGTTAGAATATTTACATGATTAAAAAATCGTCGACGGTCAACGAACCATCGAATCGGTCCCTCCTCTGTGTGTTATATATAGGGACCATTTTGACTGATTCGTCAGTTTGTGTGACCGCCGACCAATCATTTATTTGTGACGTGTTGTATCCACATATGTAATAATGTAATTTATTTTTAAATGAAAAAAAAGAGGAATAATATGGTGGGTCTTAGTTTCGAAGATTTGTTTAAATTTCTATTTCTTTTGAAATAACCAGGTCTGGAGGAAAGACTACGCTCTATACCCATGCTTTAGTACCGGGTCTTAGTTTGGAAGATGGTGGGGTCTTAGTTTAAATTTTTTTTTTTTTTTTTTTTTTTTTACTTTTGAATAACCGTGTCTGGAGCAAAGACTACGCTCGATTCTCATGTTATTCCACAGGAAAAGAATTATGGGGTCTTAGTTTTGAAGATTTTTTATTTTTTTTTAAATAACCGGGTCTGGAGTAAAGACTGCGCGCTATACCCATGCTTTATTACAGGGTTTTAGTTTTGAAGTGTGTTAGTGTCAGTAGACACAGGATGTAGTGAAGCGTCTAGTGCAGTAGTGTGTAGAAATAGATTAGCATAGTGTAGTTTTAGCATAGTGCTTGCAATTTCTGCTTTCAGCTGCTGCCGCTGGCTAACCGCAAGGTGAAAAAGTGAGCCGAGTGCGTAAGCCTCCCCCTGCCAGTACATAGCCTCTCCTCCATCAACACTCTTACGTACAGTGCCTCCTCGCGGCAACACACGGTAACTTGGTACCTCACGGTCCCAGGCAAAACTGTAAGGGATCTCGGAGTAGCTTTGGGCCCCAGAGATGCGGCGTGCAGGCCCACCGGCGTGTGGACATGCCCTGGCGTCCATCAACCAAGCTCCACCTATGGGTTAAATAGCCCCACCTATGGGAAAATAGGCGGAGAGGTCGACTTCGTAGCCCAGTAAGGCCATCAACCTAGGAGTCGGAACTCTGAAGTAAAAACCCCCATTCAACCCGCACTGGGCCAGCGTGGATGGGTAGGCCCACACAAACCTGTATGACAAACACAAATAAGCAAAGGCCCCCAGTCCCCAGCAGCTCAATTGTTCCGGACCAAGGTGGCGGCCCGATAAAGCAAGGAGCAGGGGGTGCTAAGAATCCCTGGGTACGGACAGGCCACCAATGGAAACCGAACATTGCAACCTATAACGTAAGATCACTACTTCAAGAAGAGAGACTACTGGAACTCGAGGAAGAACTACAAGGAATAAAGTGGGACATCGTTGGACTGGGTGAAGCCCGCAGACGAGGAGAAGAACTCACAGTACTGAAAAGTGGGCACCATTTCTACCATATAGGAAAGAAGAATAAGATTGAAGCAGGAGTAGGATTCCTGGTTCACAAAAGCATCGCCGGTAACATTTCTGAAATAAAAGGAATAAATGAACGTCTGGCACAAATAACAATAAAAATCAATAAGAGGTACAAAATCAAGATTATCCAAGTCTATGCTCCAACTTCAACACACGACGATGAAGAGGTAGAGAACCTCTACGAAGAAATAACAGACGTGATGAAATGCAGTAAAACACAGTTCACAATAGTCATGGGTGACTTTAACGCCAAGGTCGGAAAAAGAGAGGAAGGAGAAGGAAGCACAATCGGCCCCTTCGGAAGTGGGCAAAGAAACGACAGGGGCGACCGACTTCTTGAATTTGCCATTAGCAACAAAATGAAAATAATGAACACTTTCTTCAAGAAAGAAGCATCCAGGAAATGGACATGGAAAAGCCCAGGCAGGAACACAAAGAATGAAATTGATTTCATACTAACTGATAACCCTCACATCATCCAAGACGTGAAAACAATCAGCAAGGTGAACGTGGGAAGTGACCACAGGATAGTAATGGGCAAGATGAAAATCAACACCCGACTAGAGAGGCAAAAACTCCTAAAACCAAAACAAAGTAGCATCAACCTAGAGAAACTAAAAGAGAAAAGAACAGAATTTCAACTAGAGTTGAAAAACCAATTCCAACTTTTGACGGACAAATGCACAGACGAAGAAGGAAACAGATCTCTTGAAACATGGACTGATCTGCTAGTGGAAAAAACCCAAGAAACCGCCATAAAGATCGCAGGGAAAAAACCAAAAACCTGTGAAAACAAGATATCAGAATCTACCAGAAAACTCATGGAAAAAAGAAGGAACATGAAATCAGAAGGCATAGGCATCCAAAATGTTGAATACGTAGAAACCTGCAAAACAGTAAGGAAAAAGCTACGTGAAGACATCCGTAGTTACAACGCAACGATGATCAAATCCACAATTGAGGAAAACAGAAGCCTGAAGAAAACTTACAAGAAACTAGCACATGGAAAACAGAAAATCACAAACCTCCTCGACAGATATGGACAAGAAATCACAGATCAGGACCAGATACTTCAAAGAATTGAAGAGTTTTATGAACAACTATACAATAGCAATAAAGAGACAGAAGATCCAGGAGAACCACGATAAGAGATCCCAGTTGTAACTGATTGGGAGGTTCAACATGCAATAAATCAAATGAAGAGAGGGAAGTCACCAGGCCCAGACAACATACTTATAGACACAATCAAAGAAGGAGGAGACACTATAAATGAGGAACTAGCCAAACTTTACAATGCATGTATGCAAACGAGGAAGATACCACATCAATGGAAAGAAGCCACAATGATAATTCTGCACAAAAAGGGGGACAAGCGAGATCTAAAGAACTACAGACCCATCAGCCTCCTTTCAAACCTGTATAAGCTGTACACAAAAATCATCACCAACAGGCTAGAGAAAATCCTTGATAACAACCAACCAAGGGAGCAGGCAGGCTTCAGAAGGGGTTTCTCAACTATGAACCACATCCACACCATTGATCAACTGAAAGAAAAATGCCAAGAGTTCAACATCCCTCTATGCATAGCATTCGTAGATTACGAAAAGGCATTTGATTCCGTAGAAACCTATGCAGTACTGAAGGCACTTCAAGACCAAGGAATCAACAAGGCATACATCAAAATCCTTAAAGACATTTACTCAGACTGCTACAACACTGTCAGAATGCACAAGGCCAGCAACAAAATCATGATAAGAAAGGGAGTTAGACAGGGAGACACCGGCTCACCAAAATTCTTCACTGCTTGCCTAGAGAGCATCTTCAAAACATTAGACTGGTCATCAAAGGGAATCAACATAAATGGGGAAAACATGAGTCACCTAAGATTTGCAGACGATATTGTCATCATATCTCACAACTTAAACGACCTCGAAACAATGCTGCAAGAACTGGACGATGCAAGCCAACTAACAGGCCTCAAAATGAACATGAAGAAGACTAAAGTCATGGCAGGATCAGCCAAAGATCCAAAACAAATCCAAGTGAACGGTACCAAAATGGAGCAAGTAGAGGAGTATATCTACTTAGGGCAACGTTTCTCCCTCCAAGACAAAAATCAAGACAACGAAATAAGAAGAAGAATCAAAGCTGGATGGCGAGCCTTTGGCAGATACAGCACCATCATGAAAGGCAAACTTCCATTGTGCCTGAAAAAGAAAGTATATAACCAGTGCATCATCCCAGCAATCTCATACGCTGCAGAAACATGGACGCTAACTTCAAAAATGGAAAAAAAACTAGCAGCCTCGCAATACAACATGGAAAGAAGTATTCTAAGCATCACATACAAAGACAGAAAAACGAACAAATGGATCAGGGAACAGACAAAAGTCCAGGACATCATTGAAACAGTGAAAAGAAGGAAATGGAATTGGGCGGGCCACATCAGCCGCAGGAATGACAATCGCTGGAGCTCAGCAATCACTCACTGGACACCATATGAGGGAAAACGAAACAGGGGACGTCAAAGAAAAAGATGGCGAGACGAGCTGCAACAGTTCTGGGGACAGACAAATTGGCACCAACAGGCGCTGAACAGAAGCATTTGGAAACATCATGCTGAGGCCTTCATCCTGCAGTGGATTGACAACGGCTGATGAAGTAAAGTAAAGTTTTGAACTAATTCGACAAAATATCACTTCAAAATTATTACATTTGTGGGTGAAATTATTACATTTGTGGGTAAAGTGTTATTACATTTGTGGGTGTTATTACATTTGTGGGTAAAGTGTTATTACATTTGTGGGCGTTATTACATTTGAAGGGAAAACAGATGTAATAAATTTGAAGGGATATTTTGTCGATTTTGTTCAAAACTAAAACCCTGTAATAAAGCATGGGTATAGCGCGCAGTATTTAATCCAGACCCGTTTATTTCAAAAATATAAAAAAAATCTTCAAAACTAAGACCCCAGAATCCTTTTCCTGTGGAATAACGTGAGAATCGAGCGCTTTCTTAAGACCCCACCATCTTCCAAACTAAGACCCGGTACTAAAGCATGGGTTTAGGGCGTAGTTTTTCTTCCAGACCCGGTTATTTCAAAACTTTTTAAAAATCTTCAAAACTAAGACCCCATCATCTTATGGCTGTGGAAGAACATGAGTATTGAGCGTAGTCTTTCCTCCAGACCCGGTTATTCAAAAGTTAAAGAAAACATATAATATATAATATAATAATTATATAATATAATTTCTCCCATTCTAAAATATATCATGAGAAGTAAAGACAGACCACCTAATTCGTCCCATGACGAATTAAATTTCTAGTTCTTTATTTTTATTTCTCCCCCTTTTTTGTTCCAAGGATAACTCACGATCAGTTGTGTTAATTTCTTTCAATTTTGGCACAGTCATACATCATTGTCATGAGACATTTTTCGTCCGTACGTGTCCCCGCGCGCGTTGTGCAAGCTCAAAGCGCGCGTAAAAGGTCAAATTCAAAATGTTTACATGATTTGGATTCCTCTTACCGTAATCAACAATTTACATTAATTTCAGTCATTCTTGACCTTTTATAAGGCCATAAGCGCGCGTCAAAGTTCAAACTTCGCGCGTGCTGCCAAGGGCAATATAATGCATATTTGATCAAAAACATGCCATTTTAAAATTCGTAATAGCTCTTCAGATGGTCCGTCGACCCCCAATTTTTATATCATGGTTGGAAAAAGCATGAGTTGGAGATATGATTTCATACCACCTAAACTCGTACAAAGTGAAAGAAAGTCATCATATTGGCATCTAAACTATAAAATAAAGTATTTTGTTGATGACGTCATTTTTGTCTTTGTTTAATTGAGGTTATTTCGCTTAATGGTGATCGATTTTCTCCCAGATTTTGATATGTTGTAGCTGAGATAATTTTCTACAAGAAATATGTCATTTATTCTTCATTTGGATGACGTCATTATAGTGAAATATTCAATTAAACGCGGCAATGCATAATATGTCATATTTGCGTGTTATGTCTATGGGAGGTCACTTTTTCAAAACATGAATCTGCATGATAATGTGTTTTGACCAGTATCTCGATTGTTATTCAACAGTTTTCTCCCAAATATTAGTATGTTGTAGCTGAGACTATATGTTATCTAAATCATCCCTCATTTTAACGATAAGATTATAATCAACATTATTAGGATTATCATCATCATCATCATCATCACCATTACTATCATGATCATCGTCATCATGATTGTTTGCATGTCTATGTAACTTCTCCCATTCTCAAATCTATCATAAGAAGTGAAAACAGACCACCTAATTCGTCCCCATGACGAATTGAATTTCTAGTTATCATTGTTGTCGTCATCATCATCACCGTCGTCGTTAAATTGTAATCATCATCATCATCATTATTAGTATTATTATTATTAGTAGTAGTAGTAGTAGTAGTGAAGTAGTAGTAGTATTAGTATAGTAGCAGTATGATAGAGTAGTACTATACTTCCGTGGGGAATATATTTGTTGTCACTGCCAGGATTATCGAAGAGGCAGGGACGAGCATTCCTGACATCGCAACCAGTTTGGCGCGCCGGAAGCACTTTGGGATTGGGTCGAGTGGGGGTGGGGAATATTCCAGGGGGCTCACCCTCCAGAGGCAGTGGCGTAATGCGCAAAAAACGTTTTTGGGGCAGAAGAAAAATCTGCATCGCCACCACTCTTACACGTAACATGCAGGCCCCTGGCGGAAGTTTTTCGAAGTGAAGTATCAACAATCTGGTAGAGCGTATAGCGAGCAAAATGAGTTGAGCGCAAATTGACGTGGAGTGGGGTCCAGGGGCTTTGTCCCGTCAGGGGTCAAGGGGTGGAGCCCCCAGAAGCTCATGGGTTGTAGGTATGTACTTACGGTCCGATGAGCATCCATGGGCCCACGTTAGGGCCCTTAATGGGGTCCAGAGGACGGAGCCCCTGTAAGCTCAGGAGATTTAGGCATTTAATTACGCCAAGATGAGCATATTTGGATACCTCATTTGTGAAACTAGCAGGCCACTCGTTTTTTTCTTCCTTTCTTCTTTAACATACTTTTTCAAAAAATGTAGGCCCTGACAATACTTCACAATAAGCATATTTGTTGGTTGCCTGATTGTAATTTTTTCAACAAACTCATAAAAAGATTTATAATTTACAAAAAAAATGAGAATAAATCCCTGAAAATCATGTCATTTCAGCAACAATTGTAAACCACTGGTATCGAATTAGAAAAAAATCACTTTGTAATTTTATTTGGGGAGCAACTGTCCCTCCCCCCCCCCCCCCCTCATCAGGGTTCAGGGGCTCATGTCTTCTCACCCCTATAATAAAAAATACACACACGCTTTCTTATCCTCTCACAATAAATTTCCAGGATACATAATTATGCGCGTATCTCTATTATAAAATCCTCCATTGATGAATTTAGGGGCATGCGGAATGTTTAGGAAATTTTAAGTTCACTTTCCTTTTCTTTGAATGGAATATCATTTTAATTTGATTAAATTCAGGTTTTATTATTTTTGTATGTTCTTTTTGGTTACAAAATAGTAATCAGTTATACTGCTTTACTGCTGATTTTTTTTTTTTTTTTTTTTTTTTTTTTTTGGGGGGGGGGGTGGAAATTCGTTTTGACCCCCACCCCCCCCCCCACACACACACACACAAACAACTTTTTCGTTGGGAGGAGGGCGAGTCCCCTGCCCCCACTTTTGGCGCCTATAATCGCAAGAATGGCTGGATTTCTGAACAAGGGGCACCTACAAAGGGACACATCAACAATAATAAAAACCATTTTTAGATATTTGCATTAAGGCCTTCATCAAGATTGTGAATACACTACCACGAATGTCATCAATATTTGTTTATTTCTTTACGTGGAACAACATATTGTTTAAAGGTAATACAAAGTTTTGGGAAATTTTGAAAATTGGGTTGATAGTGATTATTTACAATTTTGATATATTTTGATGCCCCTGTGGATGTATTATAAGCACTAGAAAATTTAGCCCCTCAAACACTTCTGCTTTCGAGAAAAATTGAATATAAAAATTTACCGGTGCTCCCGGTAAATGTTGATAAATTTCAAATAGCGCCTACGGCCGTACAATAGTAGCTG